TTAGGTGCAAAAATGAAACTAGAACACCTTCTTACACCAATACACAAGAATAAGCTCAAAATGGGTTAAAGACTTACATGTTAGACTAGAAACCACAAAAATCCTAGAAGAAAACATAGGTAGTAAAAATCTGAGACATTTCTCATAGCAATATGTTTTCTGACATATCTCCTTGGGCAAGGGAACAAAAGGAAAAAAAGACAAATGGGATTACATCAAACTAAAAAGGTTTTGCACAGCAAAGGAAACTATCCCAAAACAGAAAAACAAAACAAAACACTGCATGGAAGAGTATATTCACCAATGACACATCTGACAAGGGGATAATATCCAAGATTTACAAAACACATATACAACTAACTCAACACCAAAGAAAACCCAAACGATCCAATTAAAACAGGACCTCAATAAACACTTCTCCAAAGAGGACATACAGAAGACCAGCAGACATACGAAAAGATGCTCAATGTTATATTATAAATCAACAGACAGACACAAATTAAAACCACAATGAGAGATCTCCTCATACCTGTCTGGATGCTCTCATCAATAAATCAACAAACAGCAAATGTTGACGAGAACGTGGCGAAAAGGGGACCCTTTTGCACTGTTGGGGGTAATGCAGATTTATGCAGCCCCCGTGGAAAGCAGTATGGTGGTACCTCAAAAAATTAATAATGGAACTGCCTCATGACCCTCCGATTCCACTTCTGCGAATATATCTGAAGAAACCTGAAACACGAATTCAAAGGAATATTTGTACCCCTATGTTCACTGCAGCGTTATTTACAATAGCCAAGATTTGGAAGCAGCCCAGGTAGGTACCCAGCGGTAGAGGAGTGGATAAAAGAGCGGTGGTACATTTACATAGTGGAATGCTACTTGGCCATAAAAAGGAGGAAGTCTTATCTGTTGTGACAGCATGGATGGACCCAGGGAGTATCATGCTAAGTGAAATAAGTCTGTCAGAGAAAGAGACAAGTACCATATGATTTCACTTACACATGGAATCTAATGAACAAAATAAACTACTGAACAAAACAGAAGCAGACTCAGAGATAAAGAGAACAGATTGATAGTTGTCAGAGGGGGCGGATTGTGGGGCTGGTGAAAAGGTGAAGGGATTAAAAAAAAAAAACCACAAACAAACCAACTCACAGACACAGACAATGGTATGATGATTATAAGAGGGAAAGGGAATAGGGGGAGGTAGAGGAGGATGAAGGGGGGATAAGTGGTGTTGGAAGGAGACTTGACTTGGGGCAGTGAACACACAAGGCCATATACAGATGATGTATTATGGAATGGTACAAATGAAACCTATCTAAGTTTATTAGCCAATGTCACCCAAGCAAATTCAATAAAAATGTTTACAAGGCATATGATTCAAATAGTACAATAATTTCTAATTCAGTATCATAAAGAGTAGTAATTAGAGACAATAAATAAGTCTTAACATTTGTAAAAGACAAAAGGAAACTACATTTGTTTACAGGAAGATAACAAACATTAATAAAGCACTATTTCTTTTTTTTAAATATATATTTTTATTTATTTCAGAGAGGAAGGGAGAGGGAGAGATAGAAAAATCAATGAGGAAAGAGAATCATTGATTGGCTGCTTCCTGCACACCCCCTAATGGGGATGGAGCCCACAGCCTGGCATGTGCCCTTGACCAGAATGGAACTCGGGACCCTTCAGTCAACAGGACAACGCTGTATCTGCTGAACCAAACTGGCTAGGGCTTAAAGCACCTATCTTTACCTCTGGCTGAAATTATAGTAAGTTGGTCCAATAATACTGGTTTTCTCAAGCTTTTACTGGCCAGTTTAAATGACTATTTAATAACACACTTTAAAAAGCATTTGATAAATTCAGTTTGGTGAATAAAATAAAGACTGTGCTCCGTGAGGTGAAATAATAAAAGTTAGTTCTGGGAAGGGCTGCGGTGCTATTTTGTGTAAAAGCTAAGATAGAAGATGGGATGTGGCAGTGTTTTGTGAGCTGTATAAACAACAATATGATTTACTGCATCGTGCTAGTACAATTCAGCCTAATCTTTACCCTTGAAGCAAATGTAGAAGAGTAAGCCCAGTGTTGCCCTCAAATTACTTCCAGACTGTCTGCTTAGTCTAAATAACCCTTGTGTGTAAACAGAGGTATAGGTAGATAAGCATGTCTGTACACGCAAAATACGTAGACATCTATGTGAAGAGTACAGGGTACGCCTTCTAAGGTTTCAAGGGGAATAAGGTTGCTTTGTGTTTTGCCTTGCCATTTCTATACCTGTATTCAAATCCCATGGGATGTTTTCCAGAGTGGAAGGCTTGCCACAGCTGTAAGACTCTTTCAAGCCAATGGAGATGACAGAGTTAAAACTCTGGGGATTCACGTTGGGCTGGCACACAGCTTCCTGCTGCCCTGACACATTTGTCTAGGAGCTTAAAAGGGAGGTGGGCAACAGAAAAGTTGTTCAAAATCTATCTCAGGGCGTACCCTACTTCTCAGAGAAACCTCGGGACTTGAGGTTTGGGGGCCTGATCCTGCCCAGTTCTATATTCTGTTGACTCACCTTCTACCCTCAGAGAGCTAAAAATTATGCCGTCATGTCTCAAGCTGATCTCTTCCATTAGGAGGGGACCGTGGAAAAGGGAATGGATAGAACTTCCGTTTTCCAAGACACAAGTACTAGCCGGATGACCTAAAAATAATAGCGTTTTCATCTTCATTTGGACTTTTGGCTGCAGTTGCCTCACAACTGAGTCCAATTATATCCAAATTCTCGGTGGGTCAGTTTTATAAATATGAATATTTAATTTATAAAACTGGCAGACATTGGGCACTTCCTTTTTTAAAAATCTACTATCAAATATCATGGCCCCAGAAGCAAAGATCATATCTGTTAAATTAAGACCGAATTGAGTTTTAGATGTAAACTTTGGTGAGCAGTGGCTACCGTAAATGAGAAAACATAGGAAATGATGGTAATGCACTCCCCATGCTCTGAGCACTTGTCTGTAATTCAGAGTGTGTCTCTGTTTGGAGCACTGGTGTTCACATGCTTTCTTAGCAGAGACTGGAACAGCAGTGTGGTGTATGTTATGAATGCATATTAACAGCACAGGCATTTGCATATCTGGAACTATCATGGAAAATGCATAACAAAATTCCTTTTGAAAGATTATTGTACAAACACACCGAATCCTTGTTAAATCTTGACATAACAACTTTTTGTTTTCCTCCTTTTGGGGAGGAAAAAAAACAATTCTAAGATATTCGAACAATAGATTAATGCATAGAGAGCCTCCACACACAGTCTGCCTCTCCCCCCAACCTCCCCACCCCGCCCGGCACATCACCACCAGCACCAAAGGATTCTATTTCATGTTCAAAGGCAGAACTAGAACAGCCCTAAAATGTTTTCATCAAAAACTGCTTCTCATTTGTCTGCGCATTGCAAAGATGAGATACAAAATCTCTGCTTGCGCCGAGATATGCTGGTGATCATTTTCCACTGACATGTCATGTTCCCCATCCCTTGGATTTTGATTGTCTTGTTCCTGATGGCTGTCATACTGCGCGGCTTCTGGAGAGTTTGCAAGTTTAGAATACGGTGCCACATGCAACATTCATGACAGGGCTGTCTGCTTTGTGGCGCGTGACTCTGATACTCATGTTGCTTTGCATTTACAACATTAAACCACATGAGAGAACATACATGTAATCCTGCCCTGGGTCTTCCTATAGAAATTCCCCATGCTGACATTAAAAGTGCGTGTGGCTTGTAAGTCAAAAGCTCTAGGAAATACACTCAGTGAGCCCACTCCCAGTCATGTTCCCCCAAGCAATACATTTTGAAATGCCTAGGGATGTCCGATATTTAAAAACCATGAACGAGGTTAACCTACCTATTTCAAGTTTTGAATATATGGCCTTCCTTTTATTTTCAAGGTGCATTTTTCCCCTAGGTCATGGAGGGGATAAAATTGCCTCCTTTACCTAGTAGGAGTCTCCTTTTCCTCAACTTCTCCGTCTTTTCTCGAACTGTCAGGGCAAAGGCGAGGAACGGTGAGAGGGCCGAAAGAGACTGGGGTATGACAGAGCAAAACTGAATTTCATTCCAGGTCCCCGATGCCAATCTGGAGCCAGAGTTGCATTAAAGCGACAGGATTCTAAACCTTTCAAAACCTGGGACTTACAAGGGGAGTGCTAACACAGATCCCACTGTTACAACTCTGCCAGGGATTACTTTAATTCCAAAAGCACACCGTCTCCCTTTGGAGGAAGAGCTTACTCTGTTGTCAAACAACAAAGGTGCTGTGGGTCTATGTTCAAACTTTTATTTTTATTTTTTTAAAGCGCCCTTTTCCCTTTCCTGACAGGCAATCCTGAAATAAAATGTCCTTTCCCGGTGGGTGGGGTGGACGGGGGATGCAGCAGAGGAATAAAGGGACAGGGAGAAAGGTGGAGTTTGTTTTCTTCATAAAGCTTTGTCATCCCGCCGAACTGTGCTGCCTGCTTTTGTTAAAAAGAAAACCCAAAGGGGGTGGGGGGGTGGGGAGAACATGGAGAATAACAGATAAATATGGAATAAATCTGGCAGGGAACAACGACTGGACACTGTAAGAATGACAAGATATTTAAGTAGATGTTGGTCTAGAGGGAGAATAATGGGAGAAGATTTTTAGGAGAAAGGAAAAAATCTGGAAGCTCAAAGCAAACAAACAAACAAACAAGAAAGCTAATCTTTGATTAAAATACTCCGCAGAATGCCGGGGAGAGACAGACACAAACCTAAGGGACGGTTTTTATGTTTATTGTGCCTGAAATGAAATGAGAAGGAACAAGCGAGCTGGTGCCGGGGAGAGACGGGGGCCAATAGAGAGTGAGGCTGTGACTTTGGGGAGAGGACACAAGGTGTTGAGTGGGAAATCGTTCTCGGCGGGCTCGGAATTAGACACGGCATAAAGAATCTCTCCAGGAGAAGTTGTGCAAAGGTACCTGCCAACGCAGACAGGGGAGCCTCTGAGGATCCGCTCCCAGACCCCAGATGGAGGCTGTTCTTTTATTTCAAATTCCCGAGAAGCACAGAAGTCTCACAAGGTAGTGAGAGAACACACACACACACACACACACACACACACACACACGCACCGGTAAGTTACACGCCGGGAAACAAAACAAGGAAATAAGGAGACCTCCGCCGATCCCTGTTTGCTCACACAAATCTGAGTTTGGTTAAGTATCTCAAGACCGTTTTCTGGTTTCAGCTCTCCGTCTCACGGCGCGCTTTCCCTGGGTACCCAGGTGCACAAATGGGATGGTGATCTTCACAGAGCGTCCACGGCAATGACAAAAGAGCCCCCTCGCTCACACAAAAGCCCACCTTGGAAATGAATGGAATATTAACGACTGCCTAAACAGTTTCACCGTTGGCAGGGCAAGGCTGAGCGCTAGCACAGCCCTTCCTGCAGACTGCCCGTGGAGCCGGAGCAGCCTACTGTCGGTGGAAGGCTGGTGCGGATTTTTTCCCTATCAGTCTAACCTTCTGTGTTGATGCATGAATGCTGGTACCCACTTACAGGGATGCCAGATGATCAGTGCAGAATGAAGGTCCCAAGAGAGAGGATCACATGGTTCTCTCTGCCCTGTGACGTCACTAGCAGATGGCATGGGTACCAGCTCTGGCAGTTGGCATCAATGTCACTTTTTAGAGATCAATGAGATAGTGCAGATACACACACAGATCTAGAGACTCCAGGCGACGATGCGACGACACTCAGCCTGAAAAGATTTGGAAGATCCAAAATGAAAACTGATTATTGAATGAAATTAAAACCTAAGGTAATATAAATAAAGATATACTTCCATTGATGCTGGCTTTGCATGCAAGTATTTAAAGATACAGTGTCACTGTCTTATGGTATTTATATGCTCTTTGCCATCTATAACTTATCATATTTCATTCTTACGATGTGATTATCACATACTTTCACTGCTACTATGTAACACTGCAAGTATGTGGACAGGACATTACTAAGAGTTTGTGTGTGTGTGTGTGTGTGTGTGTGTGTGTGTGTGTGTAGATTGTTAAATTGAAAAGTGTCTGTTTTATTTAACATGCTTATTTGTCTGCAGACTTTAGATGAAAATACTTGCTGTTTCCCCAAACGAAAGCCAAAATTGCATTTGAGACAGATTATTTTCCCCTTTCATTCAGGATTCTGAACACACGTGCACAATTGCAGTCAGAATCCTTGGACCGCTCCTGTCAGAGATTAGCTGGAGGGAGACTTCCGTGGCTTGCCGAACAAAAACACTACGCGAGTGTTTTGTGTCCAGGATAATTTGAACAGCAGTAAACAGACCATTATGTGTAGAAAAAAAATGTAAATGTAAAAGCAGTCTCAACGTTTCCTTTGATTTAAAAGAATGCCAGTGATTTTTATTTGTTTAATTTATTTAAGGAGTTTATTGCAAATTACCCCCTTCCTCCCCCACCCCCTTTTTTTTTGTGAGAAGGCTGGGAAATAGTGCATTTTTCTTTGCTGATCAGAGAGAAATCAGTTTTAAAATGGGCTCTGGTTAATTTTTTTCTTAAATGTGTATATTGCAATGGCCACTTAGCTAAACCCACAGTCACACAACACAGGAAATAAAGTTAAGGCTTTTATTTTTTTTAAAACCCACAAATTCATCAGCAAATGGAAAAATGACACTTTTTATTTTAAAAACCGGTGTCTCCTCTCACTTTCTACTCGGGGACAGGGGGGGACTGGAACTAATGAAATTCTGCATGGCTATATCATGTTTTGCATTTGCTTGAATTCCACGGTCTTTTTCGTGTATTTAAAAACCAGTAAAAATTCAAAAGGAGATGGAAATGGGGGGGTGGTATTACTACACATGCCTCGTGTTTTATTTTCTCTTGCTAATTTGCTTGTGTAAGTTCATCCTACTGCATGTCCTAATGTTTGTTATAATGATCAGTCTGCCCCAACTAGAAAATTATATTTCATGTAAAAGAAAAAAAATTAGTCCCCAAGCCAGTCTTTTTCATATGCTTTTGCATTTTTATGATGAACTCATTCAGTATGCTTAAGGTTAAAAATGCAAACCCTTTCAATATTGTGCTGGCATTTTTTCAGGCACGTTAAGATCAGAGAGCCATGCTAACACTCCCGTTCGATGAGTCTGTTATGATGCCAGAGTCCCAGATGTGCAGAAAGTTTTCCAGAGAATGCGAGGACCAGAAGCAAATTAAGAAGCCCGAAAGCTTTGCCAAACAGATCGTCCTTCGAGGGAAGAGCATCAAAAGAGCCCCAGGAGAAGAGAGTGAGAAGGAGGACGAGGAGGAAGACAGGGAAGAGGAGGATGAAAACGGGTTGCCCAGGAGGAGGGGTCTTCGGAAAAAAAAGACGACCAAGCTGCGCCTGGAGAGGGTCAAGTTCAGGAGACAGGAAGCGAACGCGCGGGAGCGGAACAGGATGCACGGCCTCAACGACGCCCTGGACAATCTGAGGAAAGTGGTCCCCTGCTATTCGAAAACCCAGAAACTGTCCAAGATAGAAACTTTACGCCTGGCCAAAAACTACATCTGGGCCCTTTCGGAAATCCTGCGAATCGGCAAGAGACCCGATCTGCTCACGTTCGTCCAAAACTTGTGCAAAGGTCTCTCCCAGCCAACGACAAACTTGGTGGCAGGCTGCCTGCAGCTCAACGCCCGGAGCTTCCTGATGGGGCAGGGCGGGGAGGCCGCGCACCACACAAGGTCACCCTACTCCACCTTCTACCCGCCCTACCACAGCCCCGAGCTCGCCACACCCCCAGGACACGGGGCTCTGGATAATTCCAAGTCCATGAAACCCTATAATTATTGCAGTGCGTACGAATCCTTCTATGAAAGCACCTCCCCTGAGTGTGCCAGCCCTCAGTTTGAAGGTCCCCTAAGTCCTCCCCCAATTAACTATAATGGGATCTTTTCCCTGAAGCAAGAAGAAACCTTGGACTATGGCAAAAATTACAATTACGGCATGCATTACTGTGCAGTGCCACCCAGGGGTCCCCTCGGGCAGGGTGCCATGTTCAGGTTGCCCACCGACAGCCACTTCCCTTACGACTTACATCTGCGCAGCCAATCTCTTACCATGCAAGATGAATTAAATGCAGTTTTTCATAATTAATGAGGAAAATGAAAATAAACAGTGGCCATTCACCTCCCCCGTCTAATTAAGACAAAGCAGATGCTTGTGGGCTGAGTAATTGGCACGGCTCTAGCTAAAGGTGTTTTACTAGTTCCTGAAGTGTGTGTCAACTATTGTGAGAGTTTTCTATGTCAGAATAAACCTCTTTTCGTATGAGAGCTTCTTTTCCTTTCCTTTTGGTCTGTAAAGCGCTGTGATTCTGTTCCTACTGGAAAGATTCTTTTTTCCCCCTTGTTTTCTTTTCTTTTAAATTCACTTCATTTGTTTGGGGGGGGGAAAAAAGGGTGTCTAAGGATATACTGTGGAATAAAGATATGCACACAGCATAACTCAATGTCTATTTCAGTTGTATGGTAATTATAAAAATGCATGTGATTAAAATAAGATGAATAAAATGATGTGTTTATAATGATTGGGAATTATATATTATGTATCTCTGGAAAACTGGAAATTTAAAATTCCGAGACTAACACCAGCTGACAATGATACTGGAAGGGACATTTGAGGCTGGGCCACGATATGAAAAAGCTATGCAGGTTTCTCTTTATTAGGGACAAATCTAAATGCATCTGCTTGGTAACTATTCTTCTTCAGGTATTTGCAGATGGGGCAACAGGATATTTGGGTAGGTGGTGTCATCATTTGGGAACAATTATTTCAATCACAAAGACAACATTTTCAGCACCTGTGTTGTTTAGAAATTACCTGTACAGCTTATCACAATGTATAATTGTGTTTTCCACACCACATTTTTAAAGCAATTAAACACAGATATTTACACTCAGAGAAATCATCGATTAGAGGTGATATTTCTTCATGATACTTATGATTTCCTGGTACACAGCTACTTTCTGTCTCCAAAACCCCCTCCTTCCTACTTCAGAAATATCTCTGGGTTTCAAAATGTGCGCGAGATAAAACAAATTTCTTAAGCAAAATGGCCAGAGCACTCCCAAATAATTTTTTCCTAAGTATCTTAAATGAAAGAAGAGGAGCCCGCGAGCCTTAAACATCCTGGGGAAACAATGATAAATCCTGGTAACCTTCAGCTCCAGCCGGAACCCGGTGGCAGGGTTCCAGCAAACACCAGAGTGGATGGGAACCGGGGGAAGGTGGGACGCGGTGCCCTTTCAATAAGTCTGGCCGATTAGAAGCTAAATGCTCTGTGATTACAAGTTTCCTGGCCAAAGGCCACCCACCGAACACCCACTCGAAGGGTGCCTGGCGAGCTCGCCCCCTGAGGCAGAGCCGCTCCTCCCCTAGAATAAGGACCAAGGTGGCAGTGCCCTCCCTCAGATGCCCAGGTGTGGGTTTGCCTCCCAGGGGGCGGAGGAGGCGCAGCTGCGGCAGGACAGCGGGGCCAGGGCAGCTCACCCGGGAACTGGGTCCAGCGGGGGCGGGAGGGAGGGAGGGAGGGAGCCTGCCCGGACGGTCTGGGCAGGGGGTCCTCCTGCACAGCCCAGCCCAGCACCGCTGCCCACCATACACCCCGGGGTCCCCGCTTCAGGGAGCGCAGGGCAGAGGGCGCGCCTGGCAGGTGGCTGGGGAGGGGAGGGAGGCTGCAGGGTCACAGGCTGCCCCTGCACTGCCCGCGTCCCGTCGGCAGTGGGCGCCTTGGAGCCTGGGGTCCCAGGCAAGGAAGGCGCTGTGCCATCTGGGAAGCCAGCGGGTCTAGAGACCCCACTCTGAACAGGGCAGAGCAGACCTCCGGGGGCCAGGACCAGAGGCGGGGCGGGGGTCACCCCTTCTCCCGGCTGCCGCTTGCTTTGGGGGACACGGAGGCAGCGGCAGTTTCCACCAAGAGCTGTCCCCGCCCTGCTCCCTGCTGTTCCCAGGGCTTGTGGCACATCTTGAGCCAAGGCTGGGAGGCAGGTCCGTGCCCCATTCTGCGGGGGTGAGGGTCAGCCTCCCAGCAGCCCCCCCTTCAGAGCCTGGCCCTGGGCGCTCGGCAGCCCCGCTCTGCTCTGAGGGCCAAAGGCACCAGCAGCTGCTGGCTGGCGCCCCCCACGGGTGTGTGAGAGCCTGTCAGTCAGATCCCAGGAGGGCAAAGAGGCTGAGGAAGGAGGAGGAAGCGAGCCTTCTAGGCATGAGGACAAGTGTGCCTGAGGCAGAGAGCCCTCTGTCCCCCGTCTCCACACTGGAGGGATTGCGGTGCTTTCTTGCAGATGTCATAAACCTGCCCTGTCTGGCTGGGACTGCGGCCAGGATGGCCCGGCCTAAGGCCACTCGCTGCTCACCCCGTCTGAGCAAAGGACAAGAAAGTAAGGAAGCATCTGCAACTGGGAGGATACGGCTTAAAATAACTGTTAAAAGCAGTTCTGTTCAGTCACTGGCAGAGTAGATTGGGTCTCTCTCCCACCCCCACCCCTTGCTGCAAGGTGACCTGGTGCCCGGGACCCAGAACAGCATTGCATTGCATTGCTCCTGCTCGCTGCTTTTTCGGTCCAGACAGCCTTTGAAATCCGCCTAGACATCCCAGGGTCACAGCTCCATGTTGGAACCAGCCATTGCCGCAGGGGATCATTCTCCCCGCTCCTCCTGGCAGCAGGGGGGAGCCAGGAAGAGAAGAACATCTGGGGAAAAGACAACTGTTCAGACGAAGCGTATCAGCTCAGAGCTTCGTTCCCAAGGAACTCAAGCAAAAGAATGGGGTTTCCAGGCACAGGCCCCAGAGATTATGAAATATCTTCCATATTTGGATGCATAAATTCCATGCGTGTTCTGATGGAATCTGGGGTACTAGGCTGTGTGTGGGACTGATCCCCCGGGCCTCACCCACCTTCAGACCCCACTGATGACCCCTGGCATGGGAATCACCCAGCCTCCAAGCTCACTGCTCCTGACCCGACATCCCCCTTCCTTCCAGCCCACTTCCCAATGCCAATTTAATCTTCCCAACCTGCTTCCATACACCAGTCCCTTGGAATAACACCCTTTTGTGGTTCTTTAAATTTTTTCACTCAGCTACATCTTCCCAAGGAGAACTAAAAACAACTGCTAACATACAGCACACTTAAATTTACATAACATTTCTCACATACTCACCCATTCAGTCCCAGGAACTTTATCATGAGGTAACAAACCTTGTGACCCTTATTTTACTGGAAACAGGATCAGCAAAATCACACTTGTCCATGGGCACAGTGCTAAGGGGCACAGCTAGACAAAGCCAGTCCTCAGGCCTTCCTCCTTTGTTGGCTCCCAAGGCCTGATGCATGGGGTCTCTGGTCCCCTTTTGAAATCTGATATCCTATTTCATTATATCAGTAGTTTTCACCTACTTTTTTTTTTTAAAGTAACAGTACACTTTGTTCAAATAATATGTTAGAAGTTAGTGTACACGTGTTACTGCTCCTGGTAAAGATAAGTGGGGAGGGCCAGGAGCCAAGACACCCACCCTGCCCAGCTCCTGAGATGTCTCTGAGGTTGAGCCTGTTTATTTCCCATTGTTTGCCTTTGTGTCTTGCACTGTTCGTCTGTTTAAGATATCCACATTTCTGTTCCCCATCTTCTCAAATTCACGTGTTTCAAGGCCGCCTCCTAGAAGAAGCCCCCCAGACTCCTCTAGTTTCATGCTGCTCTGAAACCACAGCTATGTTGTTTTGATCAGCCACATTCTCACTGCCTAAATATTATGTTGCATTCGAAATGGAGTTTAGGCCATGCATTGCTTATTTACCTTGGGTATACAACTAGACTGCACACTTCATGTGAGCAGGGTCTCTGTGTGATCTTCTTTTTGTCTCTCATTAAGCCACTGATGCATTTACCGCAGTTAAGGATACAAGCTCTGGTTGTATTAGAGAATAACCTCAATTAAGAGGCAAAGAGGTTTGGGCCTTTCACACCCAACAACTGACACTGAGCAACCACCAGAAGGTTCGATTGTCACCTTTAGTGAGAATAATATCACATATGGCATAGGCTGTGAAGGTAAAACACAGTCATTTATGAAAAGTATTTGGCCCACTTCCTAATCCAAAGCAAGCACATAGCTGATGAAATCAGCTATTGTTTCTATTATTAATGTGGTAGGACCACATTAACCTCTGCTAAATCTGAACAATATGAACAACAATATTCTTCAAAATGCAGGTTAGATCCAGGTAGCATATCCTATATAATAAAAGCCTAATATGCTAAGTGTCCAGTTGTCTGGTCGGCTGTTCTACCAATCAAAGCATAATATGCTAATGATATGCTAAGGCCATTCAACCACTCGCCATGATGCACACTGACCACCAGGAGGGCAACACACAATGCAAGAGCTGCCCTCTGGTGGTTAGTGTGCTCCCCCTGCTCAGCCAGAAGCCAGGATCACAACTGGTGAGTGCAGCAGCGGTGGTCAGACCCTCTCCCGCCTCCATGGCAGCCGGACCTCCCCTGAGGGCTCCCGGATTGCTAGAGGGCCCAGGCCAAGCTGAGGGATCTCACCCCCATGCATGAATTTTGTGCACTGGGCCTCTAGTTGTGATATAAACTCAGTCTATTGAACTTAATCAATATATTTTCAATAAAATAAAAAGTAGAGTCTTTCAGGGATGTAAGGTACAGCATAAGGAATATAGCCAATATTATTACAATAACTATGTACGGTGTCAGGCGGGAATACTTTGTAAAGTATATGATTGTCTAATCACATTGTTGTACATCTAAAACTAATACAAAATAATATTGAATATAAACTGTAATTTTAAAATATGTAGAGTCCTTCACACAGTTAAAGTAAGTACTTGTTCATCTAAAACTTTACTTCACACACACACACACACACACACACACACACAAAGATACATTTTATAATGTCAAATGTCAAAATAGTTGGAAAGCTACTGATCTGGAAGATAACTGAAGCGGAATACAAGTCTGAAAATTCCAGAAGAGCCCAGGCTCTTTAGACATCTGCACCCAAGCTTCTGAACTGTGCTGCTTATATCTGATGTCTGACCCCTTCACACAAAAGGAGATTTCCCTGCATGCTCACCTGCCCAGTTCCAGGAATGACTTTTACAGCATAGCAACCATGCCTTATTTCTCTCTTTGAAAAAAGCAGTATTGCAATGAGAACTCTGAGGGGAAGATGGTAGAAACAAAACAAAACAAAACAAAACAAAACAAAACACAACAACAGAATCCTCTTGACATTAATAAGTGGAGGAGGAACTCAGTAAGTTCAGAGACCTTATATGGAGTATAAAGTAAGAACCAAAAAAGAGCTCCCCGGACCCATCAGAACTGCCAATATCCAATCAAGTCCTGGATTTGTAAG